GAGATGTAGCTACTGAATTTTAGAATAATTGGAAACTTCATTATATATATATAATTGGTAAAAAGAAAAACGATAAAAATGGAATCTTTGTCATAGTGTAATTTCTCGTAACATACAAATATCTAGGTTACATATTAGTAACTCGTTATCCGAACACCAACATGTTGAAGAAACTTTAAAAAAAGGAAAGAGGCTAATTGGTTACAACAAATTAATCATAGACGAGCAAAATTATTATAATCATGTTGTTTATGAAGATATTCTATAACGTACACTTGCTATTCCTTGTTTAAATTATGCTTGCTCAGCTTAGTTTCCATGCGACATATATATGAAGGGTTTGGTAAGACTGCAATGTATAGTAAGAATAAAGCCTTACTAAAGTTTTTCAAGGAAAGGTACGGTACCTTCACGACGTGCATATTGCTCCAGTGAGTCGTCGCCGGCTGAGGCAACAGCAAAAAAGAAAAACAAAACAAAACAAAAAAAAAAAAACAAAAAAAACAAAAAAAAACCCCGAATCTCCCCATTCGTTGCAAGAGTATTATTTTACAATGATTTTGAATCCAAAATTAAATCATAGGATGTTTGTAGTTACTGCCGAGATAATGATCATCATATGACATATTATTACGTACTGGCATTAGGATGTACCATACCAACCAGGCCTATTATAATTTTTACCAGCCTGTTTCACAAGTTTGGTTGAGCAATCAGTACCGTTAAGGGTTATTTTCTAATTATTACCTACAGTACTCGACTATAGAGATATACATAGTCGAGGCATAACAACACCCTCCCCCTGGTCAAGGCTTAACACTCACAGTGCAGCCTAGGCCTATAGGCATAACTGTATGTAGCGTACATTAGCAGCATTCCAGAGCCAAAATAAATGCACGAAGATTGCCAAAGTAATTATAAATCGCTATTTAAAAAGAAACATACTTTTGGTTGCTGTCTAAAAAAAATAATAACTTTCTCAAATATACTATGTTCAATGAGCGGTTTACGATGTGTATGTTTATATTTTGTACACACTATTATGTCACGTGACCAATAATAGCTGGAGTCGTCGATTCGGTCTATTGAAAACTTACAAACACTTATGGCCAGATAAAAAACAAGCCACAAAACCCCCACAGAAGCCTTACTTGGAGATTTAGAGCGACAACCCATCAGTTTTACTCAACAATATAGGCACTAGGCATACAGTAGTTCCGTCTAACTTAAAATGTACCGATTCTGACCAGGTCACAACTGACAAAGATGTTATGAATAACATGATTATGAGTTATTGGAAAAATATTAATAAAAGTAGTCAGTCTAAACATAATAATGATATTGTTATTAATAGCCATCTATTTGATATCAGAGAAGGTTTAATCAAAAACAATGTCAATGAACCAACAAATACACTTGATGATATAGAAATATATTTTGATGATGTTAAAAGAGCTTTGTTACGTGATAAAAACACTAAATCACCCGGTATCGATTGTATAACTAATGAGTTGTTAAAGAATGGTGGTAATTCATTAATTAGATCCTTAATATACCTCTTCAATAATTGTATTGATAATGGAGATATTCCCAAAGAATGGAACAGAGGGATAATAATTCCTATACACAAAAAAAGTAATAAAAATGATCTTAACAACTATAGAGGAATTGCCCTATCTTCATGTGTATCTAAGATTTTTAACCGTATTATTTGTGATCGGATTTCTGAGTTTTTAGAAGATAACAGTGTCCTTTCGGAAATCCGGGGAGGCTTTAGAAAAGATCATAGGTGTGAGGACCACATTTTCACATTAAAAAGCATTCTTGCAACGCGAAGTGCGGAAAATAAGCCCACTTATTTAGCATTCCTATCCTGGATTTCCGTAAAGCATTTGATACTGTTTGGCGAAATGGCCTCTTATCAATTGCATGGAGTACTGGTATCCGTGGTAAGGTCTGGAATATTTTAGATAAGTTGTATAAAAATGTGCAGTGTAATGTTAAATTTGGTGATATTGTAACTGATTTTTTTCGATGTCGACGAGGGGGTTAATAAAACCAGCGAAAAATCATCCCTCTCTGATTATATTAAATTTAAAAGGATTCCTAAAATGGAAAGTTACCTCCTAACTAAAACTGATTTTGATGATGCTCAACTTAAGTTTAAGACACACTCTAACTCACTTCAACTTGAAATAAAAGCTAGTAAGTGGAATAATAATAATCCTGGTACATGCTTACTGTGTAACAATGGTATTGAAGACTTGCGACATTTTCTGTTTATTTGTAATAAGCTTGAAGAAGTTCGGTTATCTGAGCACGAAGTTTTAGTGAATAAACTTTATAACTCAGGCTTATCTGAGTTATGTAATCAGATCCTTACAATGGATACTGATGCATTTCTTATCCTTATGTTAGGCGGAGACTGCACAGAGTTTATTCCTAATCTACCCAATCACTTAATTGACTTGGCTCATTTGATTTTTGATAATGTTTGTAAATCTTATATTAAGAAGGCATGGGCAAAAAGAATTGAGATTTAAAATGGTGCTATGTTATGATTTTTATTATTATTATTATTATTGATATTATTATTATTTTTATATGATTTAATTTTTAAAAAATTTTTTTATTTAATTTTTTTTTTGTGTACAGTACTTCCTTTTTATTGATTTGCATCTCACTATGTATTTATTCTGTTAATTTTGAAGCACCATTATTGTGATGAATGCCTTAATGGTTTGGTTAGACTTTTTACTTCATGCTTTTTTATTGTATATTCCTTTGTTTGGTTTTGCGACTTTCTTTGTACATTTCATTTTGTTACTTTGGATGCACCATTATTGTAATGGGTGCCGCTGTTTTAAAAGCGTTCTTTCGAAATAAATTATTATTATAATTTTTATTATTATATATATATATATATATATGTATATATATATATATATATATTTCATTTGTGTTCCACGTGTGTTCCGACAAAATAATAGAAAATAATGAAACAACTTCAGTAGTAGACTTTAAGAACACTGATTTAT